TAATATAAGCCAATAGTATAGACTAATATAAGCTAATGAAATATCATCGCCATGCATGCACTGAATAACACTTGTAAAACAAAGACAAGAGTCTATAAGAGCTGTAGGAGATCAGCTTAACTTCCTGCAGGATATATAGACCATCGCGATCATCGCTACCAAATGCATCATTTAAGCATTAACTGCGTTATTTACTGTCACATGTAACCCGAGCAACAGCGACAAAGACGAAGAAAGGACAATTTAAGAGAGCTTTTTGTATCAGGCCACTTTTTTTCTGCGAACCGGTAATTCAAATTTGTTATATAACTATCTCATAGTTAGGAATAATGCAAGACTGTTATTGGCAATCAAGCTAATAGTAGACCCATTCAATTTTTGTGTGATGTTCTAGAGAATAAAACGTCTGTGAAAATAATTGTATCAGCAAACTGGTAGTAACGAGAACGCCGAAAAAGCAACAGGTTTAAAAGGCAAAAACAACAATTTGCTCGTGCAGCAAACTTTTCGCCGTATGAAAGGGATTCCGGATTCCAGTTACCGGATTCCACCAAGATTACTCTCTCTTGATTCTACATTCTTTGTCATTGGAACTCATTGGAAAATCTTCTCAGATGGGGTGAAAATACGATCGAAAGGAGGTAAAATTTGGGATACGGAAAAACGGATTCCTCAGATGGGGGATTCTGAAAATAGGATTCCCTCAGATGGAGGTTGGAACGGGGGCAGGGGGGCGTTGGTTGAGGCACATTCCTTAATTCTATTGTCCGGCCTGCGCGACCACGACGTAAAATTTGGGATGCGGAAAAACGCCGAAAAACGGCAACAAAAACCAGCAACTTGTTTTGCAAGATTGCCGCAAAACGAGTTGAAAATAGATGTTGCGCGTTTTTACAGCCATGAATCAAGCCTGGCTAGCAACAACTCGGTTGTAGGAGAAAGTAGAGAGAAGTTCTACTTTTTAAATCTGTGCGTGTTGCGCGTTTTACCGGCCAAGGAAAACTTGTTTGGCAGCAAGTGACTAAGTGCCCTGTATGGTATTAATCCCGCGAAATTTTGTCCAATTAGTAGTCAGTATTAACCCATTTTGCAACAAACTGATTTTTTGCAATGCAGGTTTGAACATGGGTATAAAAAAACGCGCAACATCACTTTCAAGACCTTCTGCAGTAATGTTCCAAAACAAGTTGCCCGTTTCATCCTGGTTTTACATGCGTACGCGTATAACCGTTGTTTTTTCCCGAATTTCCATTGTTTTCAAGCTTAAGGATCGTCCCAAGAGAACTTAAAGACAATGCTTACACAAAATAATTGAAGGACGAACATAAGGGACGTGTATTATGGTCCTTTTTGAAAGTGGAATAGGACTTTGTTCCGATCGCCGGTAATGAGCTATTGTTGAATTGTCCGTCATTGTGTTCAACTTGTATGCGATTCAGTTGCTGCGAGGACAGTTTTTTCATTAAATTCGCATAATTACTTACTTCATTATAATATACAGTGTGCATTTCAGCTGACACAATGTTTGTTGCTGTTAAATGATTTGCAAATGACCTGCCAGCCAGTCAAATTTCAAAGTTACTATTGGTCTGTGAGTCAAGAACGCAGTATTTACTATTGGCAAATTCCAGTGGGAAAGGTATATAAACTTCATAACGACGAGGCCAGGAATTTGAATTAGAAGAAATCGTGTAGACACATAGAGATTTCATTACACAATGAGTACAGACGTTTCAAGAAGTGCAGGATTATTTTTCTGTCCGCTGTCGGCTTTACCTGATCTTATTGAAAAGGAGAGGATTCCTTGCCTCTCAGACTATCTCCTGTTTGACTTCGAAGTGAAACCAGGATGGATTCGTTATAGTCCCAAAGAGGTTACGGTACTGTCATGTAACGAAATGTTTAAAGCTATCTACCCGGTATCTGGGATTGCTCGAATTCACAATCACACTACTGTCAAGGTGAAGACCAAAGCTGATTACGAACATTTGGTTGCTATGTTCAAAAAGCCCATAATGCTGTGTGTTACTAGAAGAGAACAGGATAGACAATTTTTCGACGGTTTCGACATGGACTTTATTGTGGTTCTTGATCCCTCGGATCCGAAAATTGCACAGGAGTTGACTAAAGTCACTGCATTAGTCCACAAGCATCTTCGCAAACAAGACAAGTTTTATCTGACGGTCGATCTGGCTGAAAGACTCGAGGAGTTGACGCCTCACAATTTCAAGAGACGAGTTATGTGGCTTAATTGTTCTTTCCATGTTACAAATTTCCACGCTCCGAATCCAATCTTGTCTCTCAATCACTTTTTCTTATGGGTCATGCTTCTGCCTTGCTGTATCACCGTCGCACTTCCCTACAGACTCTACAGGAAACTTCGCTGTGTTGATGAGAAAATAGAACTAAACGTTCACTTCTGTTTGAAATTTTCTGATGCGGTGCCCCTTGCGCTGTATTTCTTCTCGGGACGTCATCCTCTTCCAGGTCGATACAAGACCCAAGGAGATCAATTTCACCTACGAGCTTGTCCAGCAACTGAACTGATGTCGCTTCTACACGGCTGAAGAACTTTTCACTTTCCTCTGATTTTGTGCAAAAGCAGTTTGTTTATATTCGTGAACCGTTTAGTCCCATGTAGTCTGCGAGCAGTCTCTTTTTCTTCAGATTTAGTACGCGCGTGGTCATTTGCCTGTATCGGGCGATTTGCTCGACGGACCAAGAAAAAAGAGAGACTGTCCAATGTGATTCATACGTCTAAGCCGTTTAGAGATCCTTATCGTTTTTTAAAGTCTAAACTTTGATGTTACAGTCCTTACTTTCCGCCTGTCATCGAACAAAATGAAATGCGAAAAATCTTGAATTGGTACTATGTGAAACAAGAAACTGAATAAATTAAATGATTATTTAATTGCACCTTTCCGATGCCGGGCGTTATAAGACAAGGGGTGTCTGATGCAAAGTTAAACGTTTTGGGGGGCGTTTACAAGAGGCAAGAGGCATTTATTTGAGTGAAGAAGTATACTAGATCATTTACGGTAAGATACAACCATGCACGCAGAAAAAGAAAAAAAAAACGATAAGGGATGGGGCGAGGGAAAGTACGAGGTTTAGCTTCTTTACCTCGCCCCCTCCTTCATCGTTTTCTTGTTTGACCTCTTACTTAACGAAAGACGAACGAAAAACAAACCAAACAACGTCTGCTACCCAAGCTACTCACTTTCTTAAACCAATTGTTTTGGCTTTCGACGTACACCAAGGTCCGTTTTCCGCCGCTCTGTCGGGTCTTCTTTTCAGGCAGGAGCGTGGGCTCATTTGAAGAACAGCGGCTGGCAATCGAGCCCAACACGCACGTGGATATAAGCAAGCCTTCAACCTCGCACGTGTTCATTCAATTCCTCAAAATCGCAAGCGTGCGTTTAGGGCTACGTTCACACCAGTATATACCGACACGAAAAGCTATCCGGCATTTTTGTATATACAGTCGACCCTCCCGTAAGCGGCCACCCAAAATGCAAAGACTTGAGTGGTCGCTTACAAGAATCGAACCACAAGGCGCCTCTTCCGAGAGGAGGTCCTGGCACATCTACTTTATGGAAGATGATTTATTGCATGCAATTTCTAAGTTGCGCCATGTGTAGTTCCACGTTGTCATTTAAGTTCTTCATATATTCTAAGTAGCATAGAGTACGCAGCAAACATAGACATCATAGAATACACCAATTGGTCGCTTACAAGATGTTAAAAACAATTGGAAAATAATTAAACTTTCAGGCCTAAAATGTGGTCGCGGTCGCTTACAGGAGGTGGTCGTTTTACTAGTCGATTCCAACTGTAAGGTTTTGACTGGGAAAGTTTCGGTGTTTTGCCTTGGCGGTCGCTTATGAGAGGCAGACGCTTACGAGAGGTGGTTGCACATGGAGGTTCGACCGACTGTCAGTATATTTTATTTCAATATTTTTGCTTTTTGTACATACTTTTGTATATTTTTCCTCTAACTTATTTTTAGAGGACAGTAAGTTAGTAAACTGTAAAAGGTTATTACGTCTCCCTCTTTAAATAAAGCTACTGTATTGTACTGTATAGTGTGAACACCTAACCGATATGTGACTCTCCACATTAGAGATCGACGCGACGCAGCTTCGCTCCTGCGACAGAAATCGCGCCTAAACCACTGTTCTTATATGTGAACAGAAACCCTATCCGGTATGGTTTTAATCCGGCGAAAACGCTGTCAGGAATAGTATGAACATAGCTCTGAACATAGCCTAAAGCCGTTATGTTTTTACCACCACATGCGAAGGGGAGGAGTCGGACGTATTTGGACCCCCTGGTTAGCAATAGCGCGCCTTACGTAACTTGAGACTCGCTTGTCTGAGCAGATTGGGCAGAATTGTGGTAGCTGATGCTAATAAATAATAGATCACAAAATCAAGGCAAAAAAATTCTTTATGATTTTACTTTATTTATGTTAATAAATTAATTGGCTCGTCAAGTTCAGAGAATGTTCTTTTAATTTAAAATCTTCGGCTTGATTTTCTTGAAACTGAAGCGCTTTTTGCCAGCCTTTTCGGTCTGCTCGTCGCTCGGAGATGTCAAGCAAGCAAGTGTCCTTATCTCATTTGCGTTACAGTCTCTTTCGATGTATTTTTTTTCTTCTGTGAGATATCTTCCAGGTGAGGGTCTTGAATTTGCGGAATAGAAATGGAGTACAAGAACAGTTTCTGGACAAAATTTCAGTACCAGTCGAAAGTGCAAATGCATTTTGTCATCATGAATCAAGGTTTTCCTTACAGCACGATACGGAAGAGACGCCACCAGGAAAACTGGAAACATAAGGAGCCACAGTTCCCACGAATTCAGCTGCAAAAACTGGCATGGCGTTGAGTGATTAGTGATGTAAAACTCACAGTTCAGCCAATAAACCAAGTTCTTGAACTCAGTTTTTGTAAGTTCATCAAAGAGGTCGGCAAAGTCTATTTTTAAACAAAACTTTTGTCCAGAACTTAACCGTTTTTTCACCTGGTCGAAAACCCTGTTGATCTGCTTGACAATTTTGGGGTCTTTGGGATCCAACACGATTACAAAGTCTGTGTCAAAGCCGTTGACCATGGCTTCGCATTCTTGTCGCCTCGTTGTACAGAACACTAGTGGTTTTTCTAGCATTTCCTTTAAAGCTTCCAAATCGTCGAAACATTTAACCTTGAAAACTTGTTTTTCCGCGTTCCAAATAGGAGCTAGCTCGTAAACTGGCTGGAACATTTCGTTGCGAGACAACACAGTCACAGCGTTTGGATTGTAGACAATCCAACCAGGTCTTACATTAAAATCCAGCAGAAAACTTTCTTGCAATTCAGGTTTAGAATTCAGAATGTAGGGGAACGAGGTGATTGGGAACATTATAACGTCTGGCAGTGAAGATTCCATCTTAAAGTTGTAGAGAATTTAAGACGTTGGCACGTTTGACGACGAAAAGCCCTGTTGTAACGATTCGCAGTGGAGCAGATGAATGCACTTATATATACGCTTTTCTGCCGCTGCCGGTTGAAAGTAATAAATGGGATGTCCGCTAAAATGAAGACAAAAGAAAACAATGTGTAACTGAAAGCAGGCTTAACGGTTATGCAATATAGCTGGCTTCCACTTTCGCTTGAATGAGAGCTTATTCACTGGTATAATTAAGGAAACTACAACAGGAGACAATAAAAAATGGACGCTAATTATTTGAACTATTAAAACAGGCTTTTGTAGTTGGTATTGCTTTACTGGGTCGAGTTCTTTGGCTCTTCTCAATTATCCGGTGTCTGAATAGTTGGGGAGCAAATCCCGGGAAGCAAATCAAGCTTAGCTCTAAATAGTGCATCTTAAGAAAAAAACTCGAAATTTCATAGCGAAAGGAGACAACAATTTGCCCTCTGCTAATCAAGAATGTAGGTGTACAGCAAGTTTACAACTGAAAGAAATGATCGTTTAACGCTTCATTTATTTTTTTCTTTCTTAATGGGTTCTTTTTGTATTTTGTTAATTATAATATGAATGTAGCTTTCTACCGTTGAGGAAAAGTTTCTTGACCAGAACACGTAATGGGCCTATTGATGACATAGGTCACTACCCAGCCTGGTGTTTCACTGGCTTGGTGTGCGACAACAACTTAAGCTAAGACGACTATTTCATTAACAAAGGCCTTTTGGTGTTCTTTCGTAATTGAAGCATTCCCTTTTGTTTTGTTTTTATTTATGCCTGTCACGTATGAGGCGCGCTCTCTATCTTGTTGTACTGGACATTTCGAGAAAACATGTGAGTTTTACCACGTGATGCTAATAAACGCGTGAGTGGTTATTGTAATGGCAACTTAACTTTTTTTCATGCAGATTTTGCCAAAAAAGAAAAAATAAAAACAAAACAAGAACAAAAGCACTGATTGTCATCCAACATGACCGCCTTATCACGCGGTTGCAAATGAAGAATGGTTGAGACGAGAACTGAATCAACCGAGAAAAACAAAAGAAAGATGGTTGCGAAAATCATGGAAAGTCGTTGCGTCACCTTTAAGTTACAAGAATTGGTACGAAGCTATTTGTGGTTCAAGCCTGACTTGGTAAAGGGTTTTTAGCGTTCACGAGGCAGTTCGAGGAGGTCGGACGCGCCAAAATTTGCTCCAGGAATTATATCGGTTTGGTTTTGATAAGCAGCTAACCATATATTAAGTTCCTCATGTCAGTGAAAACACTAAGGAAAGAGAATGATGATCTTAAATCGAAGTTAAAAGGAATGGAATCAGAGCTGGAGTCGCTAGAAGCTCCCATGAAATTAACTATACACAACAAAGAAGAACAAGGACATGTTTGATGTATAAAGTCCAAAACAAGCTAGCTCCTGCTCGTATTCAAAATTTATTTACCCATGTCTCATGCCAGATTATATCCATTCCTACAACACCAGATGATCAGCAACTACCAACAAATTTTGTGTCATGTCTTCTCGTCTTGAACAACTAAAGAATTCATTTTCCCGATCTGGAGTGCGGTTACGGAATGCTTTACCCGGAAATATTAAAAAGTCTGCCGGTAGAAACTTACTTACTTTAAACAAGAGCATTTTGCACCTTACACCATCTTTTATTCTTGAAGATGTGAAGTCCACCAGGATAAACAGTAAATGATGATGATGATGATGATGATGATGATTTATTGTAATATTTTACTGCTGCTAATTTGAAATTCTTGTAAGTACACTGAAGTATCTATAGCGCTAAAAAAAACTTAGTTGTAACATACACAAAATGCTCCTGTAGAGCTATAAAGCAGATATCAAGCAAATTTCATAATTATAAAGGCAGCAATAACCATAATAATCTTTTTGGTGAGTTTTGCAGGCATGGCATTAAAATTTGAGAAGGTTAGCCCAACTTATTCAACTTTCAATCCATATCTATCCTTACCATCCGTTGCACCAGGCGACAAGAAGCAGTTTCTATGCCTAAATATAGTCTTAAATAACAAAACTGGACCATTATTTTTGAAATTCAATCGATGTGAGAAAAGTTTTAGCTTCACTATGAAGATAGCAAATAGCGTGGACGTAGTCTCTTTAAAGCTTAGAGCGTTAATGCCAAGAACCACAACAAGTGCATATGTTAAGGTGCAATGATAATACTACAATAAACAAAAACTGAGACACTCAAAGTCCTCGTCCTTTTTTAAAATAAACATTAGGCATTATTCTAGTAAATGCGAGGATTTCAGGCTCAGCACAAGCATAGGACAGTGCCGAGTGTCGTCTCTTTTTGGCGGCAAGGGACGGCATGTAAATAAAGACGTTATCAGTTTATCACTAAAACCGTTTTCGAGGCCGGTTTACATTGCTGGAAAATTACTTAAGATGCTGGAAAGATAACGAGTCTAAATTGTATGCTTTCTAAAGAGGTAATATGTCTAAACCACGGGCGGATCCAGGATTTTTTTTAGGAGGGGGTGCACTCGTCTCTTGCTCTACTTCAACACCAATAAACCACAGAGTCTTTTTTTTTTTGCAGAATACCAGTTGTATTAGAAAACCGCAGGTCATCTCGGGGGGCCCACCCCTGCACCCTCCCCCTAGATCCGCCCCTGTAAACGTTTTGCATAGTTTAAAACTGCTGCGTGAACCCTGGTACTATGTCCTCAGTAGAATAGTTGAAGTATTGTGGCCTTAAACATCAATTTCAAGTAACAATATTGTAACATGCAAAACGAAAACCGTTACGTTTGCTTTTTTGTTTTTGTGTTTGTTGGGTTGTTTTATTTGTTCGTTTTTATCAGCTTAACGTTAATTGTATTATATATAAAAGCGTTTAATAAAGGCTAAAAGCTTGTCTCTAGCAATTCATTTTCACAATCTCCTTCTGACTCAGTCGGTTCTTGCTCGTGATAATAATCTTTAGATTCGTCCACTTTGTCAAACTCAAAGTATTCCACCCTCTCCAGTAATAGGTTTTCCAAATGCTTGACAAGATCTTTGAAACCTGGTCTTTCCTCAGGGACTTGTTTCCAACAATTTGTCATCAAGGAATATCTGAAACGCAAACGTGAGTAAAGATATCATCATCAGCATCATCATCACCACTACCATCACCATCATTAGAGAGATTAAGCGCTGCGTATTATTTCCCGCGAACGGCAGAGGGTCACGTGACCTGACTTTCCCCACGTTTGCCGTTTGCCGGCCGCCGTGTCAAGATGTCAACGCGAGGACGACATTTTCCCGTTTGGAGGAAACGCGAAAACTTGAGTCTTGGCAGCCCATTTGTACCGACTATTCCTTCATTTTGATCGCTTGTTTTTATAGCTATTCTTCGTTTATCATCGTTCTTCTACATGATTATACTGTTTGTAAAGCTAAAAGAGTTTCAGATTCCAGCGAAAAGAGATGATAACTTTATTGCAAGTTATTGATGTTGCACATGTTTGTATGTCATAGCTGTTTATCAGCAAACTCTCAGTGATGATCAGTAATATAAATATGTGCAGCACCAAAAGGTATGATTTTTGACCCCCGTTTAACTAGAATCTTGTGTAAAATCCGAATAAGGTAAGCATTTTGTACTCTCATGGAACCAAGGAAATGAACTTATATTTTTTATCATCAGTACGTTCTGATTGGTAAACGGAGAACAGCATTTCAGGGCTGACTTTTTGAGAGGAAATTCACATTATTTTTATCTGAGATAGGGTAAGGGTTTGATGTCGCACCACCCCACCCTACCCATGTAACTTACAAATCATCAGAACACAAATCAGGTTTCTCCAATCTGTAGCCGGTCCTCAGGAGCCTGAAGAGGTTTCTGTTGCTGATAAGTGGATATGGTGAACCACCTATGAGAATTAAAATTCCGCATAATTATGTAAACGTTTGCAAGGTGTAAAAAGCAAACAAAAAATAGAAAATCAAATAGGATAGGAGAATATTGTATCCATCCCGGCAGTGACCAACTTTTCTTTTTTTTTTCGGGGCTAACGGCTAACAATTATTACTATCATCATCATCATCATCATCATCATCATCACCATCATCATCATCATCTTCGTTGTCGTCGTCGTCATCTTTGTCATTATCATCATTATACCACAGTAGTATAAACCTAATTGCAATAACGTTGTCTTAGAAACATAAAAAAAGGAAAAAGCCAAATAGGATTTAATTAGTTAAGCCTCATTCTCAGCGTCGATTCATTTGCAGCCGTTGCATTTCCCCGCTGGAATTTTTTTTAATCGTTTTTCAGCTTCAAAGCAATAGCAAATTCTAACAGGTAAATACGGCGTCCATGCAGCGGATGCCGCAAACGAATTCACTAGGCTTATTAGCCTAAATAAATAATTGCTATGTAGCTTTTTCCTTTTTTCATTATTCTATGATAACGTTTTTGCAATTGGGTGTATATAGCAGAAGCAAGTGAACTTGTAAGGGTACAGAACCTATTCAAGGATGTTTGTTTCTATTCTGATCAGTGAGTTACATACATCGCATTTAGGATAGCTCAGGCATAACCCCTGTTGACGAAATATTTAGCACTGTCAAATAATTAGGTTAATTAATATTTTATTTTACATAGGCTAGCCTTTCAAACGTCCAGCTTCATATGTGACGACAAAACTTTAATGCCAATGAACGAGAACAAACGATGCAGTTCATTAGACAATTTGGTTTGTCTACGTTAAACCTCGGTTGCAAATCAGTTTCAATGATCAATAACGATCTTTCTTTAGATCGTGCTGCGTAACAAAACAAAGCCGCCGAGGCTGAGAATAGCTAGATACGCCCGAGTTAAACGTCAAACTTGACTACGAAGAACCTATAATGATAACGAGTGAGAACGATAGATTGTTCTCCTGAGGGACGGACCATTGGAAAACTTATGGGGGGGACCATTAGAAAAGTTATGGGGGGGGGAAGAAGGAATTTTCGAGCCGCGGGAATTTTAATTCGTTATCAAATTCCTTGTATTAATTTTTTTTAGGCCATAGAATGAATATTTTTTAGGATTAATTGGCGGGCATGATTTTTTTCATTTAATTTTCCTTTGCGCGAATATTTTTTTGTACTTCGCGGTCCGTCCCTTACCGCTATTAGGGTCGATGATGTTTGACCAATCTGGACTTTAGGGAGGGTTTTGCCTAATTTGATTTTTTGCGTCTGTTTTTGGTTTTGTTTTTGTTGTTTTTTTATATATATATTTATGTTGATGAATTTGTTCTTTTTGGGAGGGGGGGAAGGGGGATCACTACTTAGAAAGAAAATGTCTAAAGTGAACAGCAAAAAATAACTGAATAAAGATAATCACCAATTGTTGCGATCTCCCATAAGACTATACCAAAGGACCATCTGAAAGAAAATACATCTATTTTCACTTAAAATAAACCTCAGATCCACAAGACCAAAAAACTATGTAAATATTTTGCACAACATTCAAAGAAGTAGTATTACGGGGCAGGAAGACTCTCTTGGCGTCCTTCTTAGACATGAGAACAGCCGTGATTCTTATTTCATGTTATAACTGATTTTTTTTATTATTTTCGTACAATCCAACGTTCATGCCCCCACCCCCTATATCCGATCTCAATGTCTTACAAAAAAGAAGAAGAAGAAGAAACAGGTCTGATCGCAGGTTATTTCTGTACTGCAGAACTTACCTCACGTCTATTCGTCTGGCCCAAACAAACAGCTCCCGGTCATTTTGGTCTAAATAATTAAACCTCATTTATACGACCAATCGTTAAACATGGTGGGTGCATGAGCGTATGAGTAGTTAACTAGTACTTATTATTTGATACCCTAAATGAATAACTGAGCTCAGTTAGGACCAGAAAAAAGTACTTACACATCGCTCTTAGAAGTGAAAATCTGTTCGAAAATAGATTCAGGAGCCATCCATTTGATTGGCAGTTTCTTCTGCCTCTTGACTTCGTAAACTTCTCGGTACAATTCTCGCATCAAACCAAAGTCTGCGATTTTGACCCTTTTTCCATGTCCAAGGAGAATATTTCGTGCCGCAAGGTCCCTATGGACGAGGCCTCTCTCAGATAAATATTCCTGTCCAGAAAAGAAAACAAAAAAGAATGACCGAAAGAACGAAAGAAAGGAAGAAAAAAGATACGAAAACAAACGATATAAGAGAAACGAAAACCGCACAAATCAAATCGGCAATACATTCAAAGCTCCCTTACGCATGCAGCCTCAGGAACCAGAAAATCAGTATCCGGAGCTTCTCTTTTACAAGAAAGGTTCTTACAAGTGGAAAGGTCAAAACCCCGGTTTTATGAAGGTGGACGTAGGGTAGGGCTGCCTACTCACGAGATATCCTAAGTGGCATGCGTTTGAAGGGTACGTCTCACGCCTTAATTCCCTTTTCCTCCTAATCCCTATGCAAACGCCTACCAATGCTCCTGAGAAGACCAGGCTCCACGTTTCTCGTCTATGTGCGCCCTGGTATTCTATAATGACATTTAGTAGTGTACTAAAGGTTCTTTAGAGAAAGCTTCAACGCAAAAGGCAATCTATATGTTACCTGCCGATAGATAACGCTTTGTAATCCAGAGCAGGATTTTTAACAACATAAATTGCCTGAGCTAAATAACCTCATGCAGCTAAGTATGATTAATCATTCATTCAAGAAAAAACGTGATCGTAGCAATGTCGCCTCACCATGCCTCGTGCTATCTGCCAGGCGAAGGACATGAGATCCGCGGGACAAAATAACTCGCAGTCTTCATCGCATTCTTGATTATTGGCTTTATCGTCAAAGACTTGATTGTCGTCTTCCGGAGGCACATTTTCTTCCTGATCTAAGTCGGAAAATACCACTATGGGAATTTGGTCATTATTAACGTCAGAAGGCTCTATCTCTTCGACTGTAACTGTTTCTTGTTTATCTCCGGACCCCGCCTAGTGAAAGCAATGGAGTATTTGTGAGTTTAGATGAACTTTGATTGAGATTTTACTTAAATGCTTTTCCCTTATCAGACCTGGAAAGGGAGTCTTGGAAAGCTGCTGCACACCAAAAATTAAAAAGATCTGTTTGAGCACCAAAGTGCAAATTTAGCCCTCCCTACCAAAGTCTGATCCAGCCTCTCCTTCCAGGAGCCATTTAAGCACAATTTAAGCCAAAAATACTCCATCAAGCTTGGACTCATTTGAGCCCTTGGGTCCAAATCAGCCTTAGATAATTGGTTTGTATTGGCTTAGATTAAGGGAGCCACATTAGACCCAGAAATAGGACTGTATTTTTCATCACTGAAACGGTCCCATTTTAAGGGATAAAACAGATTTTTCTTTTTTACAGTGTGCAGTTCTCTCACTGACTTTGATTAAATCTTTCAAAACCCTTTTCCAATGCCCATCTGACTTTCCTTTTTTTTCTTAAAGAAACATTATTAATTCTTTTTGTTCAAGAAACAGATTGGCATCTTTTTATTCTAACCGACCACTTTCTGTATAAAAAAACGACTTCTAGGTCAGAAAAGGAAATTTTGAAATATGTTCGTCTTCTAGGCTAACAGAGAGTTTTCAAACTTCCCTTATCTAAACAAGACATTTTCTTTATTTGGTTTTGTTGTTTTATTGTTTTTTCTGTTTTTTTTCTTCTTTTTTTGTCTTGAAGGTATTCGCTTTATAATAACACGGCAATTGCTTATATGAATGAAAACCTGGCGCAAAGGTCCCATAACTAAACAAGACGTACGTGAGTAAAATAATTATTCTGACCGGAGTTTTCATAATGGAAAGAAAATTAATTTAAGCAACTGGTCGAAGGTACATTAACTTACCACGTCATAGCCGCTAAATCCAGTTACCGAGTTCGTAGGCAAAGTCCTGTTTACAGTTACTGTAGTATTGGGGATCTGTGCAACGGATTAGAAGATTAATGCAGAGTTAATAAAGTAAGAAACACTTCATCACTGTCGAAACAGGCAATTTGAAATTTGTTCCCCCAGGAATTTCAATGTTTTGTTTTCGGCAGTTTCAAACATTGAAAATCGAAGAAAACGGAAAATAACATGTTATCTTCACATGTGAAAATATCACCATTGCTATGGCTTCATAATAAACCGCACCTTTCAGACCAAAAAACTATTTAAGTAAAATGGTTTGGTATTTCATTGGTGTTTACATAATAAATAGAACATTACATGGTCGCTTGGAGATAAGAACTTTCTCTTCTCGTGTTGAAAAAAAATATATTTATATACTTCAACACTCGAAGAGAAATTTCGTATCTCCGCGAGGCCATGTAATATCCTCTATTTAACTAGTTTCCGAAAGAAATCGACCATTAACTGCATGCTTTGACCCAGAAAAATAACAATACAGAACAGAACCGAACAAAGAAGAAAAAAATATTATCACAATAAACAAAAAGAAGTCTGAGAAAAAAACAGTCTACATTTCGCGACGCCACCACCGGTTTTCACGCGAAATGACGTCTGAGAAACGAGGGCAACGCGTCACTACCCAGGTCTGGATAGCGCTTCTGATTGGTCGTGCCGCCCGGGAATTTTGCTTCAGCCAATCAAAATCGGAATACGCATGCCCGGTGTTTCACAACGTGCTTCCCGCATATTTATCCGCAGAGCTAGAACAGCTACAGAAGCGCGCCATGCGAATTATTTTTCCCTTTGTACCATATAGCGACGCATTACATCAAGCCAACTTGGAGACGCTCTCTCGAAGCAGGCAGTCTATCACAACTAAGCTTTTTGATTCCATCACTTGTAACTCAGACCATAAACTGCATGAGCTCTTGACACCTCGTGACAATGGTGAATCCAATTTAAGACGAAAGAGGAATTTCAATGTCCCTCTGGCTAAGACGAAGAGACTTAAGAGCACATTTATATATAGCAACTGTAATTATTTTCTCATATTTTTATTAGATTTTATAATTATACCGATTAATCTAATTCAGCTTTTGGCTGCGATTTTAATCAGAATAAACTATCTATCTATCTATCTATCTATCTATCTATCTATCTATCTATCTATCTATCTATCTATCTATCTATCTATCTATCCGTCCGTCTGTCTGTCTGTCTGTCTGTCTATCTATCTATCTATCTATCTATCTATCCATCCATCCGTCCGTCTGTCTGTCTGTCTGTCTGTCTGTCTGTCTGTCTATCTATCTATCTATCTATCTATCTATCTGTCTATCTATCTGTAAGAAAATTATTGCGTCACTGTGGCGGGAAAACTCGTCACTTGATCTTAGAACTGATCCAGTGTGTAGATGTAGATTGAGTGCAGATCATTGGAATTTTACGAGAATTGATGTCGATGAATCCTTTAAGTGTAGAACAGAGTACAGAATTCTAAAATATGAACATGTGTGTGTGAAGAAATATACTTTCAAGGGAGTGAAGAATGAAAGATTCATAGAACTGGTTGTGTCACACATAATTTGTGACAACTCTACCCAGACCTGGGTAGTGACGCGTCATCAGTATGGAATTTCTGCGCTCGTTTCTCAGACGTCATTTTATGGGTGGTGGGGTCGGGAAATGTCGACTGTTTACTCAGGCAAGACAAAAAGCAAAAACAAAAACAAACAAACAAATGCAACAAAAAACATGAAAGCGAAGAAAAAATAAAATATAAAATATAAAAGCCTTCTGGCCTTTTAATACTAGATTTGTTTAACTAAAGAACCTACTGTTATAGGTGGACTAACACGCTTTCAAATGAATCCAACTGAACCTTGATTAACTACTCGGTAATACCTGTCTTCTCTTGCGTATCAACCATTGACGCAAGTCCCCATGCGCGACATACTCAATTATCAAATGAAATGGTTTTGTGGTGGTCCAACAGCCGAGAAAACTCAATACATTCTGGTGTTTTCCTATTGTTTTCATGAGTTCTATTTCAGCCAGGAACTCGCTCTGTTGTTCATCTGTAGCGTTACCTAAAAGCGAATTAAAAATCACTACAAGAAGAAGAATCATGACTTTAAAAAAATAACACCAATGCCGGGGAGAAATGGATACTAGGAATTTATCAATTAATTATCAGCCTCAAGATAATCGAAAATGGACTTACACCTATGCTCAAGGAGACCAATTTATCTGCAAAAATTTGATTTAAATAATAAAAAAGAAATGGTTGTAAAAATATACTTTTTCGCGAAGTAAAAAGAACGAAAGTTTCATATTGACTTTTGTGCAATAAACCATGCTGTACATGTTCCTGCTAGAACCAAATCCACAATTTTCTGCTAACGTAAATGGCAAAACCTCTTGCTCTCGAGGGTACGTCCTAAATATTGTTATTCTTTTAGCAGTTAATTACTTTTTTCAGGGATATTTTTGATAGCCGCGTCAGTTTTGCATCCTAAAGATCCTGCAATTGTCATATACATTTTATCTCTTACTTCGGCTATCAATAAGCATGAATTAAGACTCACCATGGAGCTCCTTAACAGCAACATACTGCTCTTTCCTCCTTTTAGAACATCCTTGTTGGCCGGTAAATAACTCCAGTCCGTTTGTAAGTATTGCTTTATGAACCCTACCGAAGGCCCCTTCACCTAAATCCTCGACAAATGTTGTTCTTATTGGAGGAATTTCACAGCTCTCTAGAGCTTCAATATCTTTTAGAGTCCTGAGCAAAATAACAACAACAAAAAAGGTTTCATCACAATCACATTCATCCTCCTCCTCTTCATCATCATCATCATCATCATCATCATCATCATCATCATCATAGTCATCATCGTCGTCCCCATTTTATCATGATCATCATCATCATCATCGCGTTAAAATTATCCCTTCTGCAGCGTAATCAGCTTAGTAACGTGGAAAGACGTCAACTTTTACTTTATGACAAGATCGTTCCTCTTTTTGCATTCAGCAAACTTACCTTTTAGAAAGTTTGGCTGTTTTTGGCCGTGATCTCCACAGTTTGACTGTACTAGCTAACAGGGCAGCGATGAGTGCTAAGCATCCAAAAATGATAATAAACTTTAGATCAGTATCCAGAAATGACCCTGTAGAAAGACAATTTAGGAAGATCAACATGAGATTTAATTTATTTTTTTGTTTGTCTAGTACTTCAATCAGGTTTAGGAGATGATCAAATTAATTGTGTGATGTAGGATTTTATACCGGATTACTTTTAATCGATCTTTTTAGCTCGCCCCTATCGCCGTCAGGACTGGAGACAATTTTGGCAATCTTTAACCCAAACAATTAACTTGAATCACCCATAGTAAAGAATTTTGACCCAGTTAAAAGCTGCAACTTGAGATATGATTTTCTCTCCTTGGCCTAATTTTGCGTACAGCCTAATGGCACTTAAAAATGACTTTTATTAAAGAAACGAGACCTGAACTTGTTCTGTTTACAGGATAATCCATTTGCTGTTGAATTCCCCCTGTTCTTATGGGCCATGCTTTCGAGGGAGATCCACTGCTTCCAAGCGCGTTCCAGGCCTTCACTTCAAATTCATATGTTGTGGAACAGTTCAGAATCAACTCTTGCTGGTTTAAATTTGGATGCGTCACATTAATTGTTGTCCATTGCCCTTCTACTCGCTGTACTTTCTTCAGCCTGTAATGAACTGTGTAGAAGCGAACTGGGCAGTCATTTGATGGAGCGGCTGTCCACTTCAAAGTTATGTTACACCAAGGCACTTCTGTTTCAGTGTTAGTTATTGTTGGCGCTCCAGGGCGATCTGTTGGTTGTTGTAGATAAATACAGCAGCATATTAATGTTAATGTTTCTATAAGGAGGAATCTGTTAGCTTTCAATAGGAAAAAAATTAAATTATGACGCAAATTCGTTTGAAAGGAATGTCTAGTAGTCTGTAATTGTCAGTTGTAAAACGTTACTCTTTCGCACGTTCAATAAAAGCTAAGAGATAGCAGAGCACCATGGGTAAGAAAAAATGGCAACCTAAAGAAGGGAGAAATTTTGGTAGTCACGCGACCGTCCTTCCGCACCTAAGTACGTCCGTGCTTCTGTCCACCCCAAACATGTAAGCCAATGTCCAATGTCACACCGATTTACTACCAGCACTATACTAAGACATGGAAAAAGACAACATCCTGAAGTCATATACGCCATATGAAGATGAATTGACACCTATCAGAGTCGAGTTGCTTTTTTTTTAATGCCTACACTGACTTGGATAACAGAGAAAGAGCAACAGCGTATATTTGAGTTTTTTACTTTGACAAGTGATCCCATGACATGACTTTGAAATGGGACAACTAGTTACTTACAAGCTACAAAAATGAGGATCTGGTTTTCATGATCTTCTAATTGTCTCCTGATTTGCTCTGAAAGCTTTGTTATGAAATAGTTGAGCCGTCCAATAATTACCTGCCTTTCCAGTTTTGATGAACTTTTCAGTCGGCAAGCCAAACCCGACTTTGTTTTTTGCCATCACCCTAACCACGTAATGTGTTTCTTTCTTCAGTTTTGTAAAAACACAGGACTTAAATTGGAAAGGATCTTCATGCCATGTGCAATTACGCCAGGTTTCCCCTGAATCCTTCTCTTTTATTTGAGCAAGGTACGTTGTAACTGTTCCTCCGAGTGTTTCCCCTGCTGGTGAGTTCCATTTGGCGTAAATATCATTACACTCTTCTGAAGTCGATACATTCAAGATCGGTTGGTGTGGAACATCTGTTTGACAAATGCAAACTTAATTATGAAAGAATTCAAAACACGTTTCATAGTTGAATGTAACTCGAAAGCTCCCAGTGGAAACTCTTGGTGAATGTAAATTGAACGAACCATTTCTGGTTAAGTAAATTGAATCTCTTGCAAAGGAATGAAGTGATCTTTAAAATTGACCCTTAATTTATCAATAACCCCTTCACTGCCAAAAAAGAAGTCCAAGACAAAAATTTCGCTATTTCATTTTGTAAATATTAAAACAAGAAGTAATTTTTAAAATTAATACTAAAGAGGTTTCATTTGAATATTCATACCGCAGGATTTAATCGCATCCTACAGCATGACTCAAACGTTAGAACATGGCATACAAGATTCTATCATTTACGCTGGAAGTAAGATGGTCAAAGAGCTTTTAGAGAAGAATACCCTTCCCAATTACCAGTCTGACCCATCAGCAACGTAACAGCTAGCTTTTTTCTCACTACATCGACTAGGCACTATCCAGTCACCTTGCGCTGTTTTCAAGATCCATCCTTTACTTGAGGTTTCACCAAGCTGGTTCCAAGCGGAGACAATTATTTGGTAATATTTGCTGTACTGAAATTGTAAGTTGTAAGTGGTAGCACCAGAAATGTTTATCGCTTGCCAGCTTGACGTATGCGGAGCTTCTTCTCTGTAGTAGAGAGTATACATTGTAATTAGACAGTTGTTGTCTGCACCGCTTTTCCAGGTGACTGTCACATTTCTTCCAGAAAGTTCCGTGTCGTTGTTATTTATCTTGGGTGGTTCAGGAGGACCTAAAGTGGGCAAAAGTGTAGCAAAGATTTCACAAAATAGTTCTTACTGTGCATGTTCAAGGGGATTTTGTTTACATTGCAATATTTCTCCCCTAGTTGCCAGTTGCATACATTTAATGAGGTAAAGGCCCTGGCAAATTCCCTTGTTACTTGCCAGTGGGAAGAGTATATATTTCTCAGGGGAACATGTATTTCATAACCACTCCACTTGATTAAATAGCGATTAATTTCTAATAGTTTTCAGAAACCTAGACATAAACATAACGGTAGTTGTCATGATCATAATCATGGTCTCCGAAACGAAACACTCAATTTTAATTTTTTCGAGATAAAGCACTGTCACAACGGAAAAAGCTTTTAGCGGTAACCACAGATGGCACGACTTGCGTTGTTTGTAAAAGTGCTGCCGCATATCCTTAGATGCTTATTGCAGAAAATTGCATTGGGATTGGGACAATTTTCCTCTAATATATATGGTGAACCAAATTCCAAGCCATACTCATAACATAATCAGACTCGTACCCAGCCGCCACTTATTTATTCTCGCAAAGAAATGTGCATGTGGAGAGGCAAATTGACGCGCGCAAGAAGAAAAAGTGACGTCGCTTCGGGTTTTCTTGGGCCTTCATTCTCTTGATGCACCGCGAATTCACTAAATCCTCCCCATTAATTACAGCGCGAATACAGATAAGCGACTGGGTATGAGTTTGTAACATACCTGAAAGACCTGCTGATATGAAGCCATACGACCAATCGCTAGCTCCTTTTGTGTTGAACGCTTGAACGCGAACATGGTACTTTGTTTTCTTGAAGAGTCCTTTGAATAAGCAGCTCCTTCCCTCAGAATTTGTTGTACAGTTGTGCCAGGTTTTGTTATCCATTGCTACCTCAGCGAGGTAGCCTTTTATCGAGCCTCCTCCAGAATTGAAAGCCGGTGGTTCCCACAAGACATCGAAAACGCCGCACTGTTTAATCTCGACGTCTTTAAGCAAGGGTTTAAAGGGAACGCCTTGAGTTACCGTCGAAAAAAATAAAATTTATTAGTTAGACTAGAAAGCCAATTTAGTTTGTGCTGACAGAGGGAAAACATGGAGATTAAAGGTTCATTCACGTTAAAAGGTTTCTTGTTCAGCTCCTAGCTAGTCATGAGGCATAGCCCAGACCTTCAGGGTCTTTTGGGAAGGCCCAGTTCAGACGCCGAACTTTTCGTGAGCTGAACTTAATGCATTAAATTAAGTACCATGAAAATTTCGGCGTCGAAGTCGATTAGGAACACCTGTTTCAATTTTGAACGGCTCAGCCGTTCTTTCCGCCGAGCCCGGCAAGGAATTTTCGACTGTGGGTCGACTTTGGAACGGCTTTATTCAGATGCCGAAGTTTTCATGTACCGAACCTACAGATGTAAAGCACAAATTGTTCTAGCGTATTTTTTCAAACAGTCTGACCGAAATGAGCGTTTTCCTCCTTCTGAATTTAGTTTGGCTGAAATCAAGATCGGCGTCTGAATCAATTCAGCCGGTCTAAATAATTTGGGTCGTCTCAAATTCGGTTCGGCTCATGAAAAGTGTGGATTCTGAACCGGGCCTAAGTAAAACTTGCCGGTTTATTGCCAGAGGTCTGGGTATCCCTTTATATATGCACTGTAGGTACAGCATCTGAGCAGTCTTTTGTTTTCCCCCTTTTATACAGCTTAGGATCATCGTCATCGCCATAATCATCATAGTCATTACCATTATCATCATTGTTGTCGTCGTCAAGTCTAAGCGGGACTATCAATACGGCCATTTTACGCGCATGTATAATTTAATAAAAAGAGGATTGGCTCTGTTTCGACATCACTTATAATAATTGCATAATTATCCAACGCTCTACAACGTGAGACTGGTTTTTATATAGTTTCATACCCATTTCTGTCCAGACGGATACAACTGAATCCGTATCAAAGACACTGTGGCCTCGTTCATTCCAAGCTAAGACAATTATGTTGTATCGCTTGTCGCAGTCTAACCGTAGATGATCACGATCGGTGATGTTCAAATGTTTTCGTTGCCACGTTGATAGCATAGCATCGGCTGACACTACTGCTTCCTTGTAATGGACAGAATATCTTGTTATTGGGCAGCCCCTAGATGGCGGGGGTTTCCAGGATAGTTTGATACTGCATCCAAATGGTTCTGCTTCTACAGTGAACTTCTCCGGCCTTTCTAATAACGTAAATGAAAACAGGCAGATCTTTAACAAATATTCACGGTAAATTAAGAGAATTGATTTCTGTTAAGAGAGCGACACTGACCAATAGTTAGTCTTATGATAAGACATTTTCAGTCAGGTTTGGTTTTGTCGTACGGTGACTGAGGACTTGTGGCGAGCTATTCGTTCGTTTGTCAGTGTTTCCTGGGAAAAAGAAATAATAAATATTTTACCCAGTTCTGGGCTTGACCAGATGAGTTGTGAGTATTAATAATTGTATTGGAGAACGCATTCCATTTCTGTAAACATAACATATTTTATTTTATTATATACATACTGAGAAATACTCACCAAAAAGCTATGTCGTAAATTTTCGTACGCACATTAGTTATAGCCAATCAGAGGAGCGAACGATGGTTTTCACACGTGAAAAAAACGATACGTCCAATCAGAATCGCGAACGATGTTTTTTCACGTGTGAGAAAAATGATACGTCCAATCAGAAGCCACAGAGGTGTGCGAGTTTCGCGCCAAAATTCCCGCCTTTTATTGCAGCTTGCAGCGCCGCTTCGCACACATTTATCAACGAGAAAAGTTTTACTCAAGGGTTTTTCTCGCTAAAAAGTGAAAAACATTTCGGAAATAGAGTGGAATAGTTTCGTTTGTTTCACTGTCGATAAAAAATACGGTAGAGAGCCGGCGAAACAACAGCGGAAAGGGATAAACAGAACGAGACGTAAGCTTTTGTTGTGCTTTTTGTCGGAGCTACTTTGCCTTTCATTTAAGCTTAAGCTTATATTGAAACCGGCCATTTTACTTAAATTCACTCATTTTCAATTGTGCATTGAGAACAAACAGTTAAGATTACTTATAGTTCTTGGATTAAACCTCATATCCTCACCGTCATTTATGTTTTTAACAAACGTTTTTACTAAAAAGCTGATACTTCGTTTTCGTTGTCATTTTGCGGTAAGTGTGTAGCGGCAAATTTTAGCATTTTTGAAAGATTTAAAATAAAAAGGCCCGCAAAATGATGAATGACTCAGTATGTATATAATAAACACAATACCACATGGAAAGTGCTTTGTACGGTATTTACGCACTCGTTGTTTTTGTATCAGAAATCTTACTCGTTCGCTGCGCTCACTCGTTCGATTTCTGATACGTCAACAACTCGTGCGTAAATACCGTACGCCAGCACTTTCCATGAAGTATTCTCTATATTCAAAATATTTAGCCCATTCTGATTGCTTTAATTCCCCGGATAACTCTTCATAACCAGCTAAGATAGCGCTGATCAAATTTGGAAGATGTAAGGAATGTATAATCGATGATGGTATATTGCCGCCAATATGGCACTTCACTTAACCAGGCCTACAGTGTTCCATTATCTTTTTAAAAGAAACACTTGGTGAAAAACTGAAAATCACTTTTGGTCAAGCTTCAGGTTTGTGTAAGATCCTTAACTAACATACCTGCCATGGTTTTCAAATGTTTTTTTGTCCAAGAGCCATCATAATTATAGTTTATTGCTCTTAGCCAAATTTCATAATCCATGTTGCTCATGAGTCTGTCAAATATGTGTGTAGTACCGAAAGCTGGGGCACTAACGTTTCGCTCGGTTTTGTCACCAGCAGAGGAAAGGTGAATTTCCATCCTATATGGTAGCATTTCCCATCTTAATTCTATGGATCGTCCACAATCGATCGGCGTCGCACTGACAATTTTAGGAGAAGGGAGCTTAAAAGAAGTTTCTAGTATGTAAACAAAGAACAGAGAAGTATTGAGTCAGTGGAACAATAATGACCTCAAGAACACCATTACAAGTTTAAAGAAAAAAATGCACTTTTGATATTCCTTGAAGAAAGCAAAATGAAGGACGAACTAAAACAATGGCAGTAAAAACTGAGATACGGGCAAATCAATAAAGCTACTTTGGCGGCACGAATTGCGGAGAAATTGGTCATCATGAAAAGCTGCATGCAAAGTATATTAAATATAAAGCATAGAGCTTAAAATCGACCTGCTATCAGTTTCGAATCAGTTGCCGTTGCGTTTCCTTTTGGAATCCGGTTGAAATGCTGAGTAGTTTTAAGCCACTGACTTATTTATTTATTGATATATAAGGTATAGGATTGTTGTGACAAGTTAGTTAGTGACTCTTAAAGACACCAACTTGACTTGGTTGAAAACTTGAAATCGTTGTTAATCTTGAACTCAAATTGGTAACCGCTGACAAGCTATTCTTTTCTTCAAAAGTATAATCTCCCTTAATTGGGGTACAGTTACTTGCAACTCTCTCTTAATGAAGGAACACCTCGGAGTCCATGACTCGAGCATCTTACTAAAACAACCTTGCATCTTTGCATTTCCCCACAACAAACAGTCCGTACTACTTCTGACATGTAAGCCCCATTTACACGGCAGAAAATTTTTGGCGCGGCTTGGATGAAAGTGGTACGTGTACCAAAAAAATAGTACTGATTACTCATTTACACGTTCTTTTTTCTACCGTGCTAAACGATGTGAAATTATGATTTGGTACGGGTAAAAGGCTCAACATCTCGGCCAGCGTACTCGATTCTTGCCTAGTGCGCATGCTGCTTCCTCTGTAAAAACATGGCGGACGAAAAGTTAATGAGAATTCCCACAGCCGCATGTAGTCTACGCACAAGGAACAAATGGGTGGTCATTGAATACTGGTGCGGTTATTGAATTATTGCGTGGTTATTGAACACACTGAACTAACGAAAAAGTATTTACCACTTAGTTAATGCTACACATTTATATTAAAAAATTCTAACGTATTTGCGGCTATTTCCCCCGCAGCTGCATGTTGTCCACGCTCATCAGTGAACTAACGTGTGGTCATTGAACTACTGTCGTGTTTATTGAACTTTTGGTTTATATTGAAGTAACGATAAAGCTCATCTGTACATGCTCTCCCACATTGGTGCTGACCAAAGGCACAAAGGCTCATCAGAGAAAAGTTAGCTCGGCACGGCGAATCGTTTACACTACACACTTTATCCTAGCTGGGCTAGATTTTCAGGATCGCGTACCAGTTTTATCCGTGCTCGGACTACCTCTCGACATGATCCGAGCACGGGTGAAATTTTGGTCCGGCACGGATGGGCCAAAGTCGTTTACACGACTAAATCTATCCGTGCCGAACCAATGTTTTTGGTACGCGTAGTTTTTTCATCCGAGCTGTGCCAAAAATTTTCGGCCGTGTAAATGGGGCTGTAGTCATGTGGAACTCATGACATGTTAATGCTACCATGTCGACTTGTTTTCTTGTAATTTTTGTCTGTGCTCTACCAGAGTATATAACCTTGCTTCCCTTAATTCAAGATCAGTTGAATAACAAGTGAAAAGCAAAAGCCCCTTATGTAAGTAATGAATAACGGACTTCATTGAAAACAGCGAATTCCACAGCAGCATTAGTTAGCATTAGGAAAATACTCAAAGAATTTAATATAGAAATAACAAGAGGTGCATGAGTTTACTTATTTCGGATAACACGACGTCATCTTCAGCTATTTTCATGTCTGGCATCAGTAGAACACATTTATACTGCCCAATATCGAGTTTGGATACATTACTGATGTGGAGATGCGTGATTCCATCTGACTGATTGCAAGAATTAGGCGAATCTACTCTATGATAAATTCTGTGCTTTTCCGTTTGCTTGAGCTCGCGTTCTCTAAGCTTCCACACCCAGTGGTACAGGTATAACTGGTGGTAAGCGAGATTGCTCGCCTTGCAGAATAATGTCACATTTTGTCCATTCCAAAGCTCAGGAACTACCGTCACTGCAGGATTCCAAATGTGACGTGCAATATGAAATACAGTGTACATGAAAACAAAACAAAACAAAAAAAGAATTAAGAAAAGGGATCTTTGGGAGAGCCACTGGTTTATCAGGTCTCCTCTCTTAATGATTTTTTTGTGCATTTTTTTTTATTATTTCTTAGAAATAACTGACACTGGAAAAGACAAGCGAAATAAACAAATCTGTCGATTTAAAAATTTGCACGCGCATGATGCTACACACAGTTAGAAATCCATACACGACGAAAGCATGCATCCTACCTGTTGGCCTTGGTACATTATTATACCCAACAGATGCATTCACAATTACTGGCAGCGGTGGAGGACCTTGAATGTGATAAAGTTATTATCAGAAATCAGAGCTCAATATGAAATTGACGACAAGCTCCAGCTCGATCATTAAAATATAATATTCACCTTGCAATTTGTATTTTATATGAGAAGACAAATGCATTCTTGGTTTTCGGTAAGCTGAAACTCTCTTATTTGATAAGGGGAAAACAACACAGTAGCAACTTCCTAGTTTCTTTCTACATATATTTTGCTTGTTGCGACTTGTCACCACGCTCATTAACATGTTCACTTTATACAGACTGGGCCATTATATTATAATGGTGGGGAGGGAGGTACCAGTATACCATTTCACTTTTCTCTCTCACGCGTCCTTTAACGTTCCGAGAAATTCTCGGTTTTCACATGACGTCACCAAAATTCAAACTAAGAAACTATCGCTCCTTCTGAGTTTCTACTTTCATGCGATACTATAGCACCTTAAAACCTTTACACAAACAAATTTTCGGTTCAACGGGGATTTTTGTTTTGCGATACAGGACGCTTGAATTTCCAGGCTTTTGCGTGACGCGCCATTTAGCTGGCGGCCGGGAAAGCTCTTATGTGGGTTAAAAACATTACGGACTTTTGGAGATTTTTTCTAAAGATTTCTTGTCTTCGAACAAATACTACTTTCATCTTTATGAGTTCCTCAAGCGAAGAATTCACGCATAGGTAGGAAAACTCAAAAACAGATGTTGGTTTGTCTGTTGGTTTCCGGCGGCCATATTTGTGCCTCTGAAAGGGACTCAAACATGGCGTCTCCATACAAGGCTTTATAAATTTGGGTAAAACGTTTTTCCGAATATCTCACATATGAACTATTGCATAGACCTGATTCCAGGCAATGCTTTTTGTATATTTATCTTCTTTCATTTCCCAGGTTCTAGACTTTCTGTATTAAAAGGTTTCCGTTTTTATTTCTGCTTCCTCACGTGAGTGAAAACCGGAAATAGGCTCCCAAGTGCTCATCGTCTTCTCAAAATGGCTCTGACAACGACAGGAGGCGCAGGTTATTGGACCATCGAAAATAAAGTTATAAAGGAGAGCAGACCACCCCCGAATTTGCATGCCTTGCTTTTGGCGTCTACAGGCTGAGGTTTCACAATAAGTTATTAGGAACTATGTTTTCAGTGCCCTTAAGCTAATATCAATACATAGTTACATTTTCCTCCCGTAAAATTGAGCAAATCAGAGATACAAGGACTTACAGGAAGAAGTAAGAAGTATGTCTTTTCTCCTTGTAAAATACTTGTTTCTTCCTTCACATGTGTAGTTCCCAAAATGATCAGGCTGAACATTAGAAATGACCAACTGATGTGCCTGTTTACCCAACTCAACATTCATTCCGTCGTATCTTAAGATAACCGTCTCATTCAAACCGCCGCTGTGCAGTTCCTTGCCATTTCTCAGCCACTTAACTTCTGGTAGAGGTGACCCAGTGCTGTAACATGTTAGAACTTGAGGTTTACCAACAAACTGAGAAACATGATCCTTGTCAAAACTGACCCAAGGATTGGCTAAAATCAAACAACAGCGATTAACCTCTTGAGGACGTCATAGTTGCGGTGTGATTCTTGATGAAATCTTTATTTCCATTCCATTTTTGAAAGTCTAGTAGTATTGTTTTTTTTTTCTTTCAACCTTATTCAGATCAGGCAATTCAAATTTTGAAAAACATGGCTGTCAAAACTCGGTTGCCATGCTAACATCAATTTTGACGTACACGTCACGACAACTTAAAAATGTTCCCAGGAAAACTTTAGGAAAATTCGCTAAGTTTGGTGATCCTAACCTCAAGGGTTTTGAAGTTATTCAACTTTTTAGCGAGGGGGGCCGTCTGAATAGGGTTATACACGGGGTAATACATTATTAAGCATCAAACAGATAAATACACCGTTGTACTTAGGTTTTGTCAGAGATCAATTCTAAGTGCATCGTGGGTACAACTGTAGGTCCAACCCATCCTATTGTTTCCTATAAATTTAGCACGGTATTTTTTGTCCTTTGAGTTTTGTTCTTTTTTTTTCACAGTGGACTGGATCTGTTCATATTGCACTTGGGGCTGATCACTGTTTTCGATTTCAACAGTGTAAGACAGCATAAAGGAAAGCGCGGATGTATGGCCCAGCAATGTTTATGAATGTGTGATAATACTATACTTTAAAACTTACCTATTACAGAGCAAATTTTAGCCACAAGGGTGTCTTCGAAATCTTTAAGAGTGGAGAACCCATTGACTAAGATCAGGTCATCATTTTCTTCCGTTATATTAAGGAACTTAGACTGCTGGTCTGGACTGGTGTCTCCAACTAAGACGACCACTATGCGAACACCTTTACTCTTGAGCGTGTCGGAGACGTTTTGTAAAAGAACTTCGTCCACAACAATTCTTAACGCAGGAGAAGAACCAATTACAACAGCTATTTGTGACGCATTTTTGTCAACCTGGGGGACAAAAATGCTTTCTGATGTAACTTTTAATGCACGTTCGACTCGAGGAAGGTACGCCGAACACCGATCATGAGAAGGTAGATTGTCAATGACATGGTCAAACAGGTTCAAAGTGAATTTAGGTAAAAAATTCATTTCAACAGTTGCGTTCACATTATACAGGACAACTGCAGCGTTGATCTTTGACGAATGCTGCCTAATTTTTCTCATGCTTTTCTTAACGAAATCCTTCTCGAGTCCGTAGTTGAAATCTGTAACTGTATTATCTACCAGAAAGGCTATGTTCCCTCTTTCTTCATGGCAGTGACCTGCACCTGCAAGAGTAAAACAGATGCCTTAATAAATTAATGAAAGGGAGAATAAATTACTGAGTAAATCATTGAATAATTAAGGGAAAGTTCATTCAGACCTGATGCTTTAAGCCACAGTTGTTCCAGACTGGGAAATGTTTTTTGTGTCCAAGGAGAAGAAAGCACTTTGTGATTTTATTAAATGATCGGTCAAAACCTCAAGTGTGTAATGTATTGAGCAGATTTTGCAATTTAACGTTTGGTGGCATGATATAATGGTTTAATTTGGGAAAATCTGTCATCCCAGAAATTAACGCCTTATATCTTTTTATAAAAGCCCTATTTTAGAATTCCGCTCAATAGATGACACACTACAGTCTACCAAGTTTACCCCGCTGCAGTGCAAGCTCGTGAAGTTTTGTATCTGCGCTGATCTGAATTCTTGGACACAAAATTGTCGATCGAGGAAAAGTCAAATTTTTAGACTCCCTAAGGTGTCCCGACTAAAGCACGAGTTCAAAGCAAGATATGTAATTATGGTAATTACGGTTAACAGAGATTTATAGATAAGAAAGTTTTTGTTCTTGACTGGAAACTTGCTTGTTATTATTCATATGTGAAAATTACACTGTTCACATCAAGGAAAAAATTGATCGTCCCCATTGTGACCCTATCATCCATTTCCTGAGCCACTTCCAGAGCCCCCCAACACACGTTCCTAAAATTTCAGCCCCCTCAATATCGCATCTGCACGCCTCCCTTTCCATATTAAATTAAATTTCCCTAAACGACGAAATGAATGAATGAATGAACGAACGGATGGTTGACAGGATGGATGGATGGATGGATGGACGGACGGACGGACGGACGGACGGATGGATGGATGGATGGATGGATGGATGGATGGATGGATGGATGGATGGATAAGCGAGATGGGCCGGCGAAAGGACGGAAGGACGGACGGACGAAGGATGGCCGGATGATTAAATGACTGGAAGAACAGAATAAACTACAGTTGTTATCGATTCACTCACCGGTCATTGTGAAAACCTGCTTGACTAGGTGGGGCCACGAAATGCATATGAAAATGTGCCAAAATAGAATGATTGTTATTTCCATGCTGAATAAAAATCTGAAATGAAATATGTTGAAATTAGTTAAAGCTAGTTAAAGGAAAGACGACCAGTACGAATTAATAAGGAGCTTAAGCATCTACGACGACGACCACAACGACGACTTCAAAAAAACAATAGCTTTAATGATCAAAACAACAGCTTTGCACGTGCATCACGCTTTTTAGTACATTTCTTTGATGTCCACTGCACAACTAGGACGCGAAACCTCCTAATTTGACGTTTTATGGAGGACGTGGAAATACGACGACGAATTTTCCTTCATCTGTTTGAACCTGAATAAAATCCTTAAGAATTCAACCCCAGGAAAAGTCGCCTGCGTTTGACATATTAGGGCCATTTATAAGAGGAAAAATAAGACGCGTCTTAATAAGACGCGAATTGTACCATTTATACGAACATGTCTTATCTAAGACGAGAACAGCTCGTATAAATGGTTCGCGTCTTATTTCTGTTCTTGACTCGTTTTTATGCGAATGTTGCCCGTAGCAACGGCAATCCAACGTGGCGCGCCAAAAATTAACACATCCGTACTATGCGTTTGTGTCTTATGTAAGACGCGAAGGTCATTTATACGACGTGTTCCTCGTTAGATAAGACGGTTCTTATCTAAGAACAGGTATTAAGGGCTGTTCTAAAATAAGACGCGTCTTAGCTAAGCCTCGTCTTATTTTAGACGAAATGTGCCGTTTATACGGAAAGTTCGCGTCTTATTCAAGACACGTCCTATGTAAGACGCGTCTTATTTTCCTCCTATAAATGGCCCTATTGAGCGGGTCCAAATAGACGCGATTAAGTTTGAAAGAAGGCAAATTCATTT